CCAGTCTCCAGATCTCAACCCCATAGAAAACCTTTGGAGGGAGTTGAAAGTCCATGTTGCCCAGCGACAGCCCCAAAACATCACTGCTCTAGAGGAGATCTGCATGGAGGATGGGCCAACATACCAGCAACAGTGTGTGCCAACCTTGTGAAGACTTACAGGAAACGTCTGACCTCTGTCATTGCCAACAAAGTATATATAACAAAGTATTGAGATGAACTTTTGATATTCACCAAATACTGATTTACCACCATAATTTGCAAATAAATTCTTTCCAAATCAGCCAATGTGATTGTCTGGATTTTTTTTCTCATTTTGTCTCTCATAGTTGAGGTCTCCCTATGATGCCAATTACAGGCCTCTCTCATCTTTTTAAGTGGGAGAACTTGCACAATTGGTGGCGGACTAAATACTTTTTTGCCCCACTGTATATGGCAACTCCACCTCCCCTCTCCTCTACTTTGTCTTTTCCTGTACAGTGTATACCCTGGTATAGTTATTTCCCAGTCATTTGAATCCTTGAACCACATCTCTGTAATTGCAACAAGGTCTAAGTTGTCCCTATACATAAGAGCTGTCAGTCCACAAAGCCTGTTGCCTAAACTCGGAGCATTAGTGCACATGACATGGCAAACACTGCTATGGACTGCTTTATTTTTACCACCAGAAACTTTAACTGAACAGACCACCCCATCGGCCCAGTCCTTAGCAACACAAACCCTCACATTTGTTTCAACCTGCTGGGGACAGAAATGCTCCTCAACAATTACATCTCTGCCATTTTTCAGTTTAAGTGCATGTCCAAAAATCTCCTAAATTCCATACTAAGAAGCTCAGCAACCTTGTGTGAGGGATGCAGACCATCCCGCAGTTCAATGTCAGACCACCTGATAGCATCATGACTAACATACCAAAACCTTCAGCTTTGTCACAATCCGTCAACCAAACATTGAACTCTGCTATACGAAGTACTTTCTCTTGTTGTCCATTATGCACAGGTACTACCTCGAAACTGTAACAGTAAACCCCAACTGAGTGCAGCGCTAAGTACAATCCAGACAGATTTATGGAAAAAATGTTCATTAATGGGTTATTAGTCCACAAAATAAGAGCTCAAAAGGTGATATAATATTCCCACGGTCGTAGTTTAAGTAAGACTCGGTGAGGGGCAGGGTATGCATAAAATGCGCACTCACCGGAAGCGCAAAGAAAAGGCGCAATGTATCAACAAAATGGAGGTCTGCCAGGGGGTCCCTTTCAGGATACGAATAGAGCCAGCCGGGGATGGATGGACATTGTCTTGATAAATGTTCTCAAACCGGAGGTCCACTTTAAGGACATGGGTGCAGCCTCTTCGGTACAGTGGAATAGTCACCAGGGGGAGCTCTGGGGGATTAAATGCTCAATGCAGAGCAACAAATGGAAATACCCATAGTGTAGTAATGTCAGAAACATTTAACCACTTGCCGTCCGCCTGCTGTTTATAAACGGCAGGACGGTGGTACTCCAGGGGTGGGTTGCTGTTCATAAACGTCACCCGCCTTTTCTAGCTGTGCGCGCTCCTTGGGCGCGCGCAGCACCGCGATCCGGTGCCCGCTGTGTCCTCTGGACATAGTGAAACACCGATCGTTGGATGGGACCTCTGTACGAGGACCCGATCATGTGATCACTGATTGGCCAATCAGTGATCACATGCAAAGTAGTAAGCAAGATGTCACTTGTGACATCATTGCTTATTACGTGTGAAATCTGTGAATGATCACAGAGGTCACATGGTACAAAGCCATTCACAACAGCCTTGTACCATGTGACAAGGTGTGACCAATCACAGCTCACTCAGTAGTTCTCAATGGCTGCAAGAATGCAGACAGAGAGAAAGAGAAATGGTTGCTTTTACATCCTATATGGGTGTAAAAGCAATCACTGTAAAAAAAAAATCTTCATCACCCCCCACAAGTAGTACAGTGTCACCATGGTGACACTGTACTGCTAGGATGACAGTATGTAAAAAAAAAAAAAATAAAAACAAATAATATAAAAAAATAAAATAAAAATGTAAAAAAAAATGTTTTAAAATTATAATTTTTGGTTATAAACTAATTTGGCTTATTTTTTTTTTACTATAAATATAACCGAATAAATTTTGGCCAAGATTTATGATGAAAGATTATTTATTTGCAAAATTTTATAAGAAAAAAAAAAAACACTTTTTTAAAAATTTTTGGACATTTTCATTTACATAGCAAAAAAAAATAAAAATCCCAGCAGTGAATAAATACCACCAAAATAAAGCTTTATCTGTCTCAAAAAAATGGTAAAAAATTCATATGGGTACAGTGTTGCATGACCGTGCAATTGTCATTCAAAGTGTGATAGTGCTGAAAGCTGAAAATTGCCCTGGACAGGAAGGAGGTAAATGTGTCCGGACAGGAAGGGGGTAAAAGTGTCCGGACAGGAAGTGGTTAATGAAAGATATTCTGCAGCAGCAAAGAAATATATATATATATATATCCTCATACATTTAAATGCTGAACATGTGTCAACAGCTGTGTCAGAGCGAGCAATAAGCAGGAAAGATGCAGCAACAAGTTGTTATGAGCACTAACCAGCTGGTGATCAAATGAGGCCGCCAGATCTCCGTGACCCGGCGGCGTGACGTCAAAGCTTGCAGGCTCCTCCAAGACGCGTTTCGTACACTAGTACGTCTTCAGAAGAGGTGTGCACACCCTGGTGATTATATTTGGCAATAGTGGTAGAACTCAGTAAGAGGATTTACAGAAAATTTTATTCATCACTTATATTTTATGGTGGGCTTTTGCCGATCTTGATTTTTGCACATTGTTTGGTGATTGCACATGTTTTATATATGTCTTTTAAATAATGATTTATGATCACATCATTTTAAAGATACAGTGCAACAGAATTTGGTATCAATTATTCATCTGATTAACAACAGTATATTGATTTAAAGCAACGCTGTAATTATAGGATCTAAACTAAGGCTAGCCTGTAAAACAACATGCTGCATACTTTCCAATCCATCAGGTCAGTGTGTTAAAACTCCACTCTATTGCTGATCCCCATCACTAGAACGTGTAACCAGTTTTTCAATGTACAGTGGGGCAAAAAAGTATTTAGTCGCCACCAATTGTGCAAGTTCTCCCACTTAGAAAGATGAGAGAGGCCTGTAATTGGCATCATAGGTAGACCTCAACTATGAGAGACAAAATGAGAAAACAAATCCAGACAATCACATTGGCTGATCTGGAAAGAATTTATTTGCAAATTATGGTGGAAAATAAGTATTTGGTCACCTACAAACAAGCAAGATTTCTGGCTCTCACAGACCTGTACCTTCTTCTTTAAGAGGCTCCTCTGTCCTGCACTCATTACCTGTATCAATGGCACCTGTTTGAACTTGTTATCAGTATAAAAGACACCTGTCCACAACCTCAAACAGTCACACTCCAAACTCCACTATGGTGAAGACCAAAGAGCTGTCAAAGGACACCAGAAACAAAATTGTAGACCTGCACCAGGCTGGGAAGACTGAATCTGCAATAGGCAAGCAGCTTGGTGTGAACAAATCAACTGTGGGAGCAATAATTAGAAAATGGAAGACATACAAGACCACTGATAATCTCCCTTGATCTGGGGCTCCACGCAAGATCTCACCCCGTGGGGTCAAAATGATCACAAGAACGATAAGCAAAAATCCCAGGACCACACGGGGGGACCTAGTGAATGACCTGCAGAGAGCTGGGACCAACGTAACAAAGGCTACCATCAGTAACACACTACACCGCCAGGGACTCAGATCCTGCAGTGCCAGACGTGTCCCCCTGCTTAAGCCAGTACATGTCCGGGCCCGTCTGAAGTTTGCTAGAGAGCATTTGGATGATCCAGAAGAGGATTGGGAGAATGTCATATGGTCAGATGATACCTACTGTGAAGCATGGGGGTGGCAACACCATCCTTTGGGGCTGTTTCTCCGCAAAGGGACCAGGACCACTGATCCATGTACAGGACAGAATGAATGGGGCCATGTATCGTGAGATTTTGAGTGCAAACCTCCTTCCATCAGCAAGGGCATTGAAGATGAAACGTGGCTGGGTCTTCCAACATGACAATGATCCCAAACATACCGCCCGGGCAACGAAGGAGTGGCTTCGTAAGAAGCATTTCAAGGTCCTGGAGTGGCCTAGCCAGTCTCCAGATCTCAACCCCATAGAAAACCTTTGGAGGGAGTTGAAAGTCCGTGTTGCCCAGCGACAGCCCCAAAACATCACTGCTCTAGAGGAGATCTGCATGGAGGATGGGCCAACATACCAGCAACAGTGTGTGCCAACCTTGTGAAGACTTACAGGAAACGTTTGACCTCTGTCATTGCCAACAAAGGATATATAACAAAGTATTGAGATGAACTTTTCATATTCACCAAATACTTATTTTCCACCATAATTTGCAAATAAAATTCTTTCCAGATCAGCCAATGTGATTGTCTGGATTTGTTTTCTCATTTTGTCTCTCATAGTTGAGGTCTCCCTATGATGCCAATTACAGGCCTCTCTCATCTTTGTAAGTGGGAGAACTTGTACAATTGGTGGCTGACTAAATACTTTTTTTCCCCACTGTACGTGCAATTGTTTGCTGCTAAGTGCAATGGCCATGATCAACAAAAAGGCAGCATTTTAATACAAAGGCCATTGGAAAAGTAAGTATGCAGAATTTTGTTTCGCAAGCTTACTTAATTAGTTGCCATCTTGCAGCATCAGGGTCATTTTAAGGAGGTTAGCTTAGGCAGCCCCTCTAATTCTCTTCAAATACCAGCGTAGATTCCATAAACACAAGAAAAACAAACGCTTTAAATGCATGCCTTTATTTATCCAGGACTTTTATAGACATTTATTTCATAAAGCAAAATATGGCATACTTTTTGCTCTTTATGATAAAACAAATAAGACCTGAAGAAATGTTTCAGAAATCAGCACCTGTTTAGGTCATAGATGATCAGGAGGCACATGCTGCTTTGGTATGGAAGTAGCAGAAGACTCTTTGCTTTCAGTTAGTGCTCTAGGCTGGTGTATGAAGACACTAAATTTCACACCTTGATTATTTGCTGCTCTTACAAAGCCACTGTTAGCAGTCATTGTGATTGCTTTCAAGTTGTCCCCAGTGCCAAATATCGAGACTGAACGCCGGTTGATTTTGGAGCTGACTTCAAGTTTTAAGGCACGTTCGGAAGGCTGGTCAGGTACCACAGTAATTCTTTTAATAAGTGATGAAGCTCGCTCCCTTTCTTTTGGTCCTCCCAAGGTTTTCAATATAGCCTGGAAGTCCCTCACTGCAGACTCGCATGCAAATAGTTCTTTGTCCTCCATAAAAGAATTCAGCATTGGCAACACCTTCTCCTTTCTTTCCTGAACTGCCTGTTCTGTTAATACTTTCTCTTTAAACACCAAGTAGCAGCCTCCATGACTAAGTGCAGACACATAGGTGATCAATGTAGTGATATCCAAGTTCACTCGCTTGCAGACTTCAACTTTGATCTCTCTAGGAAAAGCCACACTGGCCACTATATTTTCCCTATCTACTATACCGCCATGTAAAAGCTCTGAAGCATCATCATCAGATTCGCTGTCACTTAAAGTCTCTTCTTCTGCAGTTTCTTCAAAGGCATTAACAGCTACTATATCACCACGTACGGAGATTCCCATCTGCTTTAGCTTTTCAGCCATAGGGCAGGAAATGCCATTATAAAAAGCAAATATGATGTGGGGACTGCTATACTGTACAGGTTGCTGGTGACTAGCTTGTAGGTAATCTTCTGCTTGTTCAATAATGCTTTTGTCACCATACTGACCACGACCAAGCCATATATTATGCAAGGCTTCAGCCTTTCTTCCAACTGCTTTCACCCATGTGTGGCCACCATTAGCTACTACATCCACTACAATTGTTTGCTTTTCACCAAACTGGTCTTTGTAACTAAAGACATGGAGTACACTGACCACATCCTCTAGGCTCTCAGCTGAATCAAGAATGGCTTGTAGATGAGTGAGGTTGGTGCTTTTCAAGTGAGACTCCTTAATGGCCACTTTTCCCACCTCCACTTTTTGCAAGAACTTCAGCTCAGCTCTTAACTTGCTGCATAGTTTTGCTCCACCTTCAACTCCTCCAGCTCGAGACTTGGAGAGGGCTTCAGCTCTCTTTATTAATTCTTTGGCAATTACAATGCGGTCACAAAGCAATGAGTGCACAGACATGCTGGCAGCATTATCCCTAAAAAAAAAAAATAAAAAGATGAAACAGATTTTTAGCATAGGAAATTAGAAAAACAATTTATTGCATCGTGCAATTCTTCCCAAAGTCTGGTCAGTTGGGTGTCACCACGACAATATTTGTAGTAGTGTTTAAGAACCAACTTTACTATTTAAAAATAAAAAACACAACACTAGATGGTCCTTCACATGAGGAACTCCCTTCCCTCTGCACAGGCATATGCCAGAACTCTTTTCTCTCTGCTTCTGAGGTTAATGGGCATCCTCTATGTTCCCAGCTTGGGATAACGAATACTTCATCCTCTGCCCAAAACATGACCTAACATAGACATGTCACATCGTATCTTCTGGGAAAATCCAACCTCCATCTAGTGCCTGCAGCAAGCAGGTTGTGTAGAGCACACATCAGGGGCGGACTGACCATTTAGAAACTCGGGCACTGCCCGAGGGCCCAGGGTCAGTAGGGGGCCCCATGAGATGCCCTTGGTACCTTTTTCATAGGCTTTTTTGAGTTTGGGCAAGGACACAGGGGCCCCATGATCCCCTATTGCCCGGGGGCCCCATGAGTTGTCAGTCCGCCCCTGGTACACATATTCTCTCACAAGCCTTGTTTTGTACTCAAAGCTAGAACTCTGCAATATACCACCGGCAGTGAACAGTAGTTTACACCCCACTTGGATAACACTGGTGCAGTGGACCCTTATGCACTGAACTCATTTGTTTTATTAAGATGCAATCAGACTGCCTGAAAAGTAAAGTATTTGTCGGACTTTTTATGTTTTATTGTTGTAGACTATGCCAAATACCCCTCAGCTGAGAGAACACCGGAGATCTGGGCTTCTGCGCTCATATAGAGTACAAGAAACACCCCCTGCACAATAATCGAATCAAGAACGCTGTTCAGGGGCCATTGCTAATTGGAGCACTGTGCAGGGGGGGTGTCAAACTTTTGTCTGTTTTGGATAGAGAGTAGAACTGACAGGTTGTTTTTGCAGTGTCGGTCTCTGCTGGAATTTACCCTCATTTTTCACCTGGTGACTATTGTCTCCAGTGCTGAAAATGTAGGAAAATCTAACATTTTAGTGTGATCACATGAACAAAAGGGGAAAACTTTCAATGGGAACACCTATTCCAGTAACAGAGGTCAAGGAGGGGTATTTGGATTGCAAATTGCATCTTACTTTATAGTATGCCCCTCTTAAGAAGTGAAGAGAAAGGACAACAAATAAAAAATGTCAGGGGTCTTAAAAAGAAACTTAATCCCCCCCCCCCGCCTTATTTTTCTCCCCCTCCCCTCCTATTTTGGCAGGTTGTGAAAAAAAAAAAATCACATACTCACACACCTAGTGATCCAATGGTTTTCTCTAGAGAGCCGTTGCAGCACACCTGGCCCAGCACTATTATCTTCTTCTGATGTCACCAGTTGGTGCTAGCTGTCCCTACTAGGTTGTTCAGCAGTCCTGTATAACATGCATGTGTCATGTCACCAGATGGGCTGCTGCAAAGACTATGAATCAATGCCCAGCTCCCCTGATGACACAGTGCAGCACAAGTGCCATAGAGTACCCCAGCCTTCTGGGACCCAGGACAGGGGTGAGTAAAGGAGCGGTAAAACAGTAGCCTGAGCAAAGTGGCTCTTGAGCATGTGCAAACATGCCGCAGGTCTCAGTGGGGTAAAAAAAAAAACAAAAAACAGTGAACTGAGCCATGGCATGTCCTGAAATGTGTGGAATCTTGTGGTATGCTTATGCGAAGAAGTCTCAACTGAGTGGCGTCCGAAAATGGCAGCATGAGAGCCGGGTGCCACAAGGTAAACTTTGGTTACAAGGTAAACAATGCTGGTGTCGGAGATCACCTCCGCGATGGGCTCGGCGCGCAGGCGCAGTGCACCGCCCTGTGCAGGAACGCAGGCACTGGGACCTGGCCGATCGCAACGAACAAGTTTGCGCATGCGCAGTAGGGACCGCAGGCGCGCGCGTGGCACCAATGTGTCAGGGATCTCCTCGATCCCCGCCGCGATGGGCCCGGCGCAGGCGCACTGCTCCACCCAGTACAACTAGGTCCGGGCCGGCCCGCGGCGTTCGAGTTCGCGCATTTGCGCAAGTAGAAGCCGCGGCCGCCCGCTGGGCACCAATGGCAGCGCAGGGCGGGATATTTAAAGGTCCCTGAGCTGTCATTTCGTTGCCTTCTGGTCTTACCTGCTTCCTGTGTTCCTGTACCTGAACCTGTAAGTTATTTTACTCTTGACCTTGCTGATTTCTCCTGCCCAGACCCTTGCTTGCCTGACCTCTCTCCTGGATGCCCCTTATTAGATCTGACCTCCTGTTGCTGACCTGGCTGTGACCCGACGATTCTCTGCCTGCTCCCTTGTACCTTACCGTCCTCTACATTACCGACTCGGCCTGTCTGACTACCTTGCTCAGCCATCCATCCATCCATCCCATCGGGGTCACCCGACCTCCTCACATCTGGCTCTCCCTGGTTGGAACCCCTGGCGAACACCCCTACCACTGACATTGTGCTCAGTAGAGGCGACCTGGTCTCGGGGTACTACAAGTCCATCCCCACTATCAGGGGCCCTGGTGAACAAGTACCCTGGGGCTTAGACTCCGCGCTCTGGGCACGCCTGACCAGTGGAGTGCTAGTGGTGCCGCTCGGCGGTCCCTCACACACAATGACAGCCAGGACGATGGCCCTGAGCTGTCATTCAGTGCCCTGGTCTTCCCTGTATTTGTACCGAACCTGTGTATTGTAAGTTGCTCCGGATTGTGCTCTGACCTTACTATACCTGCCCAGACCCTTGCTTTGCCTGACCTCTCTCTTGGATGCCCCCTATTGGATCTGACCTGCTGTTACTGACCTGGCGCGTGACCCGACTATTCCCCCGCGCTGCCTTGTACCGTACCGTCCTCTCTGTTAGACCTGGCCTGTCTGACTTTGCACCTGCTCAACCATCCATCCGTCCCTCGCGTGGGTCTTCAGACCTCCTCATATGAGGCTCTCCCCCGTGGGAGCCCTCGGCGTATACCACTACCACTGACGGGTTTACCCAGTAGCCACGACCTGGTCTCAGGGTGCTCCAAGTCCATCCCCACCATCAGGGGCCCTGGTGAACAAGCACCTTGGGACTTAGATTCCGTGCGCTGGGGACGCCTATTCAGTGGAGTGCTAGTGGTACCGCCGGGTGGTCCCTTACAGCTGCATTGCACGAATTAGAAAGTAGTTTTTTTTTATTTTCATACAGGAACAGTTAATAGATGAAAGGAGCCTTGTTTTAGATATTGAATGTGAGGTTCCCTTTTAAACTCACTTTCCCAGTACCATGTATGGTGACTGAATGCCGGTATATTTGGGAGCGGACTTCAGTTTTAAGGGATGTTATGAAGGCTGGTCAGGTACCACAATAAGGGTAGATTTAGACATGCGACATTAGAAACTGCTCCTCTGAAAAGCAATCCACGTTCCACTTTTTAGAGACAAATGACACACAGTGAGGACAAACGTGCCGCAACCGCATGTGTTTCCGGCCCATCCCAGTAGCATTCACCGGGCTTGCCACCTGCTGATCACAACATGTTGGGTAGTTTTTACCATGAGCAGAAAGTGAAGCATCAGAATTGCAGCATGTAAACACTCCCATCCGCTGCCATTTGCAGCTTAGGGCTACTAAAAACGAAGCTCAGCCACACATCCCCCCCCCCCCCCCCATCCCAACCATACATCTAAAAGAGGCCTAATGCTTTTAATAAGTGATGCAGCTCGCTTTATTTCTTTTGGTCCTCCCAAAGTTTTCAACATAGACTAGAAGTCCCTCACTGTAGACTCACATGCAAATACTGTAGTTCTTTGCCTTCTATGAAGGTTTATTTTAGGTCGTCAGAATGAAGTTCCTCTTTAACCCTTTGAGGACCAAGGGACGTATTTGTCCCATGTTTTTAATTGCGTGTATCATCTGATTAAGAACTTAAAACTCTTTTTTTTTGGTTTGAGTCAAAATATTAGTTCTTATCAACAAACAACAAATGGATCTAGCTTTTTGCCAATTATTTCATGAAATGGCTTAGTTACAGCAACTGAAGTGTACGAACTTTAAAAACAAAAAAATTGATTATTTTGGCGTTCCAAAATCTTACGGTCCTCAAAGGGTTAACCTCTTGCCAACCACCATATAGCTGAATGGCGGCTACAGCGCAGTTGTCCAGTTCTGGGAGGGTGTCATATGACGTCCTCCCAGAACGAGCCCTCCCGTGAGCCCCCGGCGATCCCCGTGATCGCTGTGTCCTACAGACACAGTTGATCACGTGATGTGGTAAAAGGCCAATCACAGCGGCCTTTTACCGCGTGATCAACTGTGTCCAATGACACAGCAGATCACCGGTAAATGCAGTTGCCGGTTATCAGCTGCACTTTCCTCGCGCTATCACAACGTGAGGAAAGTCATGGCCTGGACTGAGTGAAGCTAAGGGGAGGGCCAGCATGACTGGGGCTTGCAGACGAGGTGGAAATTGGATTTGGGTGGGAGGATATTCAGTAGGTAGGGGTGGTTATGTTTTGGATGGGGCCACTTACAGACCACCTACTGTGATCTATCAATGAGCCTAATTAATGCAGAAATGTGTGTATGTAGAAGTAAGACACTGACACCTGATTGGAGTATTCGAGTTTTAGGGTGGTCTTTCCAGGATGAGGAGAGGGGTTGGGACTTGTCGGGTGTCAGTCGGAGCTTGTGCCAGCACAGGTGAGGTTTCTCCCGCCCTCCCTCCCTGGACCTGTTTTGTTGTTTTGTTATTGGGCTTGTCCTTTGTGTTTGTCGTGTTGTTTGGTTTTGTGTGGATTTGTTGATTTTGTTTTCTTTCCTTGATCAGCATTTTGTGTCCTCGGGGTGTTTGGCGTTTTTTGTTTTGTCATGGCAGCTGGCAGGGGTCGCTGGGTTTTTGAAGGCGGTGCTGGAGTGACAATTTGGTGGATTATGGGTTGGGCCCATCGTAGGTATGGGTGTTCCTTCCCATCTATAAGGTTACATTGGTAAGGTGGTAGTTAATGGGCTGTATCTGGGACTACGTAACTGTAGTATTGTCCCCGAGGCGGTGTAGTAGCGGCTGGGGGCCTTTTCATTGGTTGTCAGATACAGCCGAGTTATTGATGTGAGTAACGGTGCCTTCGAAGACCTTGGACCTGGTTGGGATCATTACTGTCAGTTATTATTTGATTGTACTGTATGAAGTGTTATGTAAGAGTTATGTTAAATAAATGGGCTGCTATGGCCGTTTTTGCACCAAACGGAGAGTCACGTGGTTATTTCTGGTAGGAGAAGGTTGAGGGGTGGTTGTTTTATTGGTTAGGGGGTAAGTATTAGCCTCGATATTCTGCATGTCCCTCAGTCAAGTGCTGCCGATAACCAGCAATTGTCAGAGGACGGATCAGCACCGATCATCAGGGCACTGCTGATCAGTGCCCTGATGATCGTTGCCCAGCAGTGCCACCCACCTGTGCCCAGCAGTGCCACCCACCTGTGCCCAGCAGTGCCACCCACCTGTGCCACCCACCTGTGCCCAGCAGTGCCACCCACCTGTGCCCAGCAGTGCCACCCACCTGTGCCACCCACCTGTGCCCAGCAGTGCCACCCACCTGTGCCCAGCAGTGCCACCCACCTGTGCCCATCATTGTTGCATACTGTATCAGTGCAGCATCATCAGTGCCAGCTCATAAGTGCTGCCTATCAGTGTTGCCCAGGGGCGGACTGACAACTCATGGGGCCCCCGGGCAATAGGGGATCATGGGGCCCCTGTGTCCTTGCCCAAACTCAAAAAAGCCTATGAAAAAGGTACCAGGGGCATCTCATGGGGCCCCCTACTGACCCCGGGCAGTGCCCAAGTTTCCAAATGGTCAGTCCGCCCCTGGTGCTGCCTATCAGTGCTGCCTGATCAACGCACATTAGTGAAAGAGAAAAATTACCTCTTTGCAAAATTTTATAATAGAAACAAACAAAACTTATTTTTTTTTCAAATGTTTTGCTCTTTTTTGTTTACAGCGCAAAAAATAAAACACCCAGCGGTGAGTACATACCACCAAAAGAAAGCTCTATTTGTGTGAAAAAAAAAAAATGATAAAAATTTCATATGGGTACAATACTGTTGCATGACTGCGCAATTGTCAAAGGGGGTATAAGTGCCCGGTAGGCAAGTGGTTAAACTCCACCTCCAATGAACTGGAAGCTAATGCCAATTACACACGATCAGATAATCGGACCACTATGCCTGCTAGTCTCATATCAAAAATGAAGAGGTTACTAAAGCTACGAAAATGCTTCTATGACAGAATACAAATTTGGAAGTGATACAATGTATTGTAATATCATTTCTTCTTTCGTTTCTGAGCATGCGTGGTCTTGGCTCTCCATTGTTTTTGGACGAATACTGTACTAATTGAACAAAAATCGTTTGCACGGTTATCGTACGAGAAACATTTTCGTGCTTGTTCCTTCAGATGAAGCTCTGATGAAGAAGGTCTGGCCTTCGAAATGCGTCAGCTGAACTGAGTGCTTACCCCCACGATGGGACTCACGCTGGCCCTCTATCTCTGAAGTCCCTGTGAGGACTTACATGCCTGATTTTATTCGCTGTTTGTGAGTACCTTTCTTTTTAATAAACTTCTGTTTACTGAGGTAATGCGCAAGGTTTGTGCGCTTCTCGTTTTTATTTCGCTTTGCAGTATTGGTCGGGCTTCCCCAGCCTTGTTTGGAGCTGCACAACCTTTGAAGCACTGGTGGTCGCTGTTTTTCCAGTTTTGGTTCCATCTATTTGCCACCTGCCTGGGTCCTAGAGCGCAGAAGAATTCGTGTTTGGTCTATTGTCGCATGAAATGTCATGATCGGCTGTTGCAAGCTATATACTATTATTATTATACAGGATTTATGGTGCCAACAGTTTGCTCAGCGCTTTACAATATAACGGGAGACAATACAGTTCAATACAAGGGGGATAGGAGGCCCTGATCCTTGGAGCTTACAATCGATCAGATTTTAGTGCAATCCCTCCAAAAATGATTTTGTCATCCGATTTTCCGACCATGTGTACGGGGCATAAGTGTAACAGCCGACCTAACTTCCACTAACTGCGCGTGAAACTGCTGCAATGAATTCTGTGACTTGTAGTTCTCACTTTGAAAATCATCACTTTAATATGAGCTTTTCTGTGTAAACTTGCTTCTGGCAATTATTTTCTGCCTATACGTGGCGAGTGGAATACAGAAAAGTAGAATTGTATTACGGGAATGACTCATGTATCGCTTAACCCAGCAACATATTCAGCTGCTGGCGAAGTGACTGATTGGATTTAAAAAAAAACAGCCAATTCACTTATCGATTACTTACAATCTGTCGGTGATAAAAGTTCCCGAAAGTTTGCACGCAGTTTTTGCGGTGTCAATAAAAGTTCCATCTTTAGCAGTTTGTGTAACACAACACTTTCTAATGCTCTTCAGTTTACAATCCAGTCCCACCCTTAAACATTCATATGGTTCTTGACCTCTCATCTAGGTGACATTTCATGTCAGCAGTTGTCAGCTTCTCCTGTCAATTTCATTTATAATAGATCTATTAAAACAGTACCTTAATCATCCAGTACGTCCCCCAGCCAGGAAACTGCGTGATGTTTGCAATTCACTCCTTCCTGCTGCTGCTGCATTCCAAGCCTCCTTCTCATGATCTCTACGTCTGTGTTCCAAGCCTCCTTTCCATGACTTCTGCTTCCTAGCCTACTTCTCATTATGTCATCTTCTGCATTCCAAGCCTCCTTTCCATAACTTCTGCTTCCTAGCCTACTTCTCATTATGTCTTTTTCTGCATTCCAAGCCTCCTTTTCATGACTTCTGCTTCCTAGCCTACTTCTCTTTTTTATGTCTTTTTCTGCATTCCAAGCCTACTTCTCATTACGTCTTCTGCATTCCAAGCCTCCTTTCCATGACTTCTGCTTTCCAGCCTACTTCTCATTATGTCTTCTTCTGCATTCCAAGCCTCCTTTCCATGACTTCTGCTTCCTAGCCTACTTCTCATTACGTCTTCTTCTGCATTCCAAGCCTCCTTTTCATGGCCTCTGCTTTCCAGCCTACTTCTCATTACGTCTTCTTCTGTGTTCCAAGCCTCCTTTTCATGATTTCTGCTTCCTAGCCTACTTCTCATTATGTCTTCTTCTGCATTCCAAGCCTCCTTTCCATGACTTCTGCTTCTAGCCTACTTCTCATTATGTCTTCTTCTGCATTCCAAGCCTCCTTTCCATGACTTCTGCTTCCTAGCCTACTTCTCATTATGTCTTTTTCTGCATTCCAAGCCTCCTTTTCATGACTTCTGCTTCCTAGCCTACTTCTCATTACGTCTTCTTCTGCGTTCCAAGCCTCCCATTCTCCATGACTTCTCATTTCTGCTTCCTAGCCTACTTCTCTACTTCTCGTCTTCTGCATTCCAAGCCTCCTTTCCATGACTTCTGCTTCCTAGCCTACTTCTCATTACGTCTTCTTCTGCGTTCCAAGCCTCCTTTTCATGACTTCTGCTTCCTAGCCTACTTCTCTCTATGTCTTCTTCTGAATTCCAAGCCTCCTTTCCATGACTTCTGCTTCCTAGCCCACTTCTCATTACGTCTTCTTCTGCATTCCAAGCCTCCTTTCCATGACTTCTGCTTCCTAGCCTGCTTCTTATTATGTCTTCTTCTGCATTACAAGCCTCCTTTCCATGACTTCTGCTTCCTAGCCTAGTTCTCATTATGTCTTCTTCTGCTTTCCAAGCCTCCTTTCTATGACTTCTGCTTTCTAGTCTACTTCTCATTACGTCTTCTTCTGCGTTCCAAGCCTCCTTTCCACGACTTCTGCTTCCTAGCCTACTTCTCGTTATGTCTTCTTCTGTATTCCATGCCTCCTTTTAATGACTTCTGCTTCCTAGCCTACTTCTCTCTATGTCTTCTTCTGCATTCCAAGCCTCCTTTCCATGACTTCTGCTTCCTAGCCTACTTCTCATAACGTCTTCTTCTGCATTCCAAGCCTCCTTTCCATGACTTCTGCTTTCTAGCCTACTTCTCATTACGTCTTCTTCTGCATTCCAAGCCTCCTTTGATTGTAGACCTCATGAACACCCATTGTTATACCATACCCACTTCAGCTCCGGACGGTTTTACCACCTTAACGAGCAGGCCATTTTTTGCTATACTGCACTGCGCCAGCATTGATAACCTACCAGACTGAATTTCACTGAAACGACACCCAAATTTTACTGACACAGTCAAGTTTTTACTGGCCTTTAAGTTAAAAAAATACAGTTTTAAGTGCAAATTTCAGTATTTAGGATAAAACAAGTACAATATACAATTAAAATTAAGGTCGATATTAACCGCTTCCACTCCATCCTACAGCAGAAATACTGCTACAGGGCGGCAGGGGTGTGAAACATCACATATACCCTTGAACCCCTCATTAGCACTCCTACACATTGGAATCAAGAAACTCCCTCCTCACTCCCACACAATTATCACCCACATACTCTTTGCCACAAAAATTAATATCACTAGATTATGGAACACAAACAACACCCTCCTCAATCACTTCACTAATTACAGACCTTAACACTCAATGTCAAATGGAAAAATTATCCGCAATTAACACTTCTTCCTATCACAAATTCAATACCCAATGGACCTGGTGGCTAAATCACCGAAAATGCACAGTACAACCCTGATGACATTTCATGAGATGAAATCACACCCCATACTAAGACTGGTATCTCCTCAAATACCCAGTTACATCCCTCCTCCCCTCAATCCTATCCTCCCCCACCTCTCCACCAAAAACCCCTTAACACCCCAAACTCCTCACCAAGGTTCATCAATTACACACGAATACCTCTGATGATATTGCTAAACAAGACCAACACCTCATCCGTCCAATGGGCGGAACTACAACAAAATTAATCAGCCATATTTTGTCTATTGCATTATTGTATGTATGAATAACCCATATCTCTTATCCCTGTTTTTTTTTCCCTGTTTATCTCTGAAAAACTTAATAAAAATATTGAAAAATAAAAAAATCACATATACCATGTTTCTCCGAAAATAAGACACTGTCTTATATTTTTTTGGGCTCAAAAAACACACTAGGTCTTATTTTCGGGGTAGGTCTTATTTTTTAAATGTTCAGATGTGGACAGGGGGGGGGGTGCAGTTGTGGATGAGGGTTACTATTGAGAGGGCCGGCTGATGACAGTTGTGAGCTGCAGTCAGGTGTTGCAGAGGTGACTTGACAGGTGAGTTTCAGAAAAGGTGCAGATATGAGCCACAGAGAGTGTGCAGGGGTGCAGAGGTGAGAGCTGCAGACGTGGGATGCAGAGGTGAGCAGTGGATGCAGAGGTGTGGCTGGGGGTGCAGAGCTGAGCTATGGCCAGGGGGTGCAGAGCTGAACTGTGGCCAGGGGGTGCAGAGCTGAGCAGTGGCTGGGGGGTGCAGAGCTGAGCTGTAGCCAGGGGGTGCAGAGGTGAGCAGTGGTGGGGGGATGCAGCAGGTGAGCAGTGGCCGGGGGGTGCAGAGCTGAGCTGTGGCCGGGGGGTGCAGAGGTGAGCAGTGGCTGGGGGGTGCAGAGCTGAGCTGTGGCCAGGGGGTGCAGAGAGGTGAGCAGTGGCTGGGGGGGGGCTGTGCAGAGCTGAGCTGTGGCCAGGTGAGGGTGCAGAGCTGAGCTATGGCCAGGGGATGCAGAGGTGAGCAGTGGCTGGGGGGTGCAGAGCTGAGCTGTGGCCAGGGGGTGCAGAGGTGAGCAGTGGCTGGCGGGTGCAGAGCTGAGCTGTGGCTTGGGGGTGCAAAGGTAGGTTGCAACTCAACTCACCTCTGCACCACCCCAGCCACAGCCCACCTATGCACCCTGTCTGCAACTCACCTGACTGCAGCTCACCTTTGCACATCCCCCCTCCCCCTCCTCATATGGTTAGCTAGCTTTGCAAAACACAGCTGTCAGCA